TCGCTGAATTAGCAATCCCACTGAATTAGAGATCACATTGAATTAGCGATCCCACTGAATTAGCGATCCCACTGAATTAGAGATCACATTGAATTAGCGATCCCACTGAATTAGCGATCCCACTGAATTAGCGATCTCGCTGAATTAGCAATCCCACTGAATTAGCGATCCCACTGAATTAGCGATCTCGCTGAATTAGCGATCCCACTGAATTAGAGATCACATTGAATTAGCGATCACACAGAATTAGAGATCACACAGAATTAGAGATCACACAGAATTGGCAATCCCATTGAATAGAGATCACTGAATTGGTGATCACATCAAATTGGCGATCACACTAAATTAGAGATCACACTGAATTAGAGATCACACTGAATTAAATGAAATAAGCTCAGTAGATGGACCATATTGTTTGTAATAAATGACAACCACTCACATAAATCACAAAATTACAGAGCTCCACGGGACAGAAAACAGAGATGAATTTTTAAAATTCTTCAGTAGAGAAACAGTGTGATACTTTCTGCTCAAGTAAATGCACAGTGGATACACATGAAAACACTATTACAAGTTTTGGGAATAATGTTCTCCAAATACTACAAATATTGAATAATCTCTACTCTATTTTTAAGTTTGTGTAATACTGTTTAATACAGATTGAATCAATGAGGAACTGGAAAAGAACTCACCATAAATGATTCAAGTTAAATTTGACCTTGTAATAACCAACCATCACAATATATGATATCTCAAAATAGTTTATTTAGAGCTACCATGACCTTGTGACCTCTGCTTATCAATATCCATATTTAATTGGTTGATTCCACAGAGATCAGGTACTGGTCAATGTATTTTAAAGGAATGGAATTAATAAATAGCATGCTTAATTTTTTTATTACTGCCTTGATAAGAAATCACATAATAAATATGGATATAACAATAATTATAATAAAAAATAGCATATGATGTATGTGTCAATTATGAATGAAAATGGTTCTTAAGCCTTGAAGATATAGTAGTACGGTCAAAAAAGCAAGATGAGAATAGTAACTTAGAGACCTTTAGGGGGTTGCACTGATGACTTCACACAAACAAAACATAAACAGGCTTTCATGCTCAATGCAAATATTCAAACATGTTTGCTAAAATCTTCACAATGACCTTAATACCTCAATGTAAAAGAAAGCAATGAACTATAGCATATACATCCATTGGCTGAAAGTAGTCATCTCATTTGTAATAGTTTCACAGCAAATTAGCAAGAGTTTTATAAATTGTTCTATTTTGATCACAGATACCAGCATTACATAAATTAGCCACTATTATTATTGGATGCTAAGATTCCAATAAGATGACAAGACAGATTGTTATAGCATGCATGCATGAATACACGTACCACATGTGTGGATCATGTGACTTTTGACCCAACTTAAAACTAAAGTACACAAATTAGAAGAAATGTCAGGTCAAACAATTTAATAAATCATTTTACTCAAAGTAGAAATGTGCATGTATCTTGTAGAATATTGGAATTAGTAAGAAATATCCTAATCTTAAATTTATGAAAACCTTCACAATAACAATCACTGTTAATAAATTATTTACTATGAAGATATACACATGTATATTTATACAGTATGTTAAATCTTGTTCAATGCACTGACAGCATAATATCCACATTATGTTTATTACTGTTATTAAAATTAACTAGTGACTTTCAACAAGGAATTTATATGATACACTAAATTTCCCGTTTCAAAACCTGACTTGTGTTCCCAAGCCTTTTTTTCCCTCATACTGTAAAATACTTTATTTTAGCTGGAATCAGTTTTTGCTGAAAAGACTTTTTGGGGTGTTTTGTATGAAATTTATTTTTGACGAGTTGAATGTAAAATATAGGGAAAAAGGTATATTCACTGGGTTTTATTTTTACTGAATCATTACTTAAGCGAAAATTAATTACAGTAAACTGTCCTAGGACAATGTATGACTGTTGTCATAAATGATTAGTTGTGCACACTGCACAGACACCACATGGTTAGAATATAAACTAACATATCATTTAAAGGTACATTACCACTTTGTAATATATACAGAATACTCCCAACTGAAGGTTATGGTTTCCAATCACTGAATCAAACATACTGTAAACTATATTATGAGAAACAGATTTTCATAAATTTTACATATTTAACAATTTTTTGGGACCCTACAATGCAAAGTGTCACACAAAAATTTGTATCATTGAAAATTAAGTGGTGTACAGTAATTCACATAGTTGTAATCACTGAAGGTCACTTCACTTTATTAAAGAAAGCTCTAAATTCTGGTGGATAAGACTTCTCATAAACTTTACAGCAGACCATACTAAAAGCATCTTTTCAGTCCTTTCATGCCATCTACTTTTCTACACCAATTTTATAAAATATTCCATAAATATGTGATCTAACCATATAAGCATAAAGCATGCTCTATTTTTTTCATCGAATTCAGAGAACATTACTTGATGTTAGCTGGAAAGGAAATACAATCGCTATGGCAATATGTGTAGTAATTAGTGACCCTGAATGACATGGCTCACATCAACTGAGCTCTTTATGCAAAAATGTACATTGTGCAGGAGAATGGTATTTATATGGAATGACCTAAAAACACTGCAGTGGGAAAATGATACATAAAAACATTGAGTTGGTTACTGAAACACAAACCACATTCTGTCACTGAGAAGAAACCAACGTGATCAGAAATAGAAATTACTATCAATATAACTAATAATGGATAAACAAAGCCAATTAATTCTGAAAATGCAATATGTTAAGGACACATTACAGACAGCTGACATGATACTATATATATATGTATCTAGATAAAACTGTTTATAAAGCAATTAACAAAACCACATTTTAGTTTTAAAAAAACGCCCACCTTATTTTTGGATTCAATAATGCAATGACAGGACAGGATGTGAACTTTAGTCACAACAAAACATTAACCTTTGCAACATGTCAGGACCATATTGGGCGTCAAATAAATTAAGCTCAGCTGGATCTGTTACAATTTAATATCACCCCCCAAACTCTAGAAAGGAGGTCAGTTCATTTGACTAAAGTATATAACAGTGTCTTATTGAGTGTTTCCAATAGAACAAATACTGATAGACTAGAGTGTGTAGCAGTGTCTTTATTAAGTGTTTCCAATGGAACAAATACTGATAGACTATGTGAGCAGTGTCTTATTAATGTTTCCAATAGAACAAATACTGACAGACTAGAGTATATAACAGTGTTTTATTAAGTGTTTCCAATAGAACAAATACTGA